TGACATTGATTTATATGAAATGTGACAAGTTTGTAAAGTTGAAATGTTAAGACATGAAAATACAAAATATTTAAGTTACATTTATATCTCTCAAATATTTGTGATAACATCAAAGGAACACAGTTTCACGTACGAAAGTGAAATACACATTCACACACTAATAATGAGACAAATTTACAGCAAATCATATGTAATGCCAACAATCACCATAACATAATTGTCTTCCAAGAGGGTATTAAACAAGAAGTGTACATGTAGTAATTATTCTAAAAAAAATTAATCGTCGTTTACAATCTAATATGCAGTATGACCATAAATTTCGATTTTGAAGTAGAAAATCTGTGCACCATACAACTAATTCAAGTAATAAAATCCCACCAGTCGTAATAAAACTCCTTTACAATTATGAGAAAAATCTCTCCACAACTCTCACATTAGAGTGCTTTTCAACAAGACCAAAACTGAATGTAACCAAATCCAAATCCAAAACAGAATGAAACCACCTCCAAAAGAGGACATAAACAACAAATCAAGATGGATTTAGAAAACTTGGGAGGAAGACTCGTAGGAGCCGAAGGGTAGATCGCCGACTAGGAGAGGTCGAGATGCGCCCCGCGCTATGCGCAATAGCGCGGCAGTCGACGAGCATCTCATCGACAAAGATCAGGAGGTTGGTGTCTTGACCGTGGATGACCATGGATGCGGAGTCGCCGACAAGGCAAACGTCAATGTCGTTGAGATCGACGTGTACGGCGGAGGGGTAATCGTTGACACCCACTGCAACGCAACTTTGGTTAATCGTCTGCTCAAAAGAATCCTAACCTTTTCCTTTGATACGTGTGATTTTGCATTAATAAATTATTAACTGTTGAGCTGCAAAAACAGTTGATTTGGTCAGCTTAATTAATTTAAACCCACAAATCAAGATGTGCATAATAAAGGTTAGGTGTACAGAGTTGTTAAGTCCTCATTTTGCGAGTTAGTTGAAAGTTAGTGTCACAGATTTGTCCTTTTTTTGTTAGAAATAATTCCTTTGAATTCAAATCATTGATCGTGCAAATCTTGACTGAGTGACAACCGAATTTTAAAGGCAACGACAGACCATAATATGATGCAGACAATAGCAACTAGGCATAAAGACAATATTAAAATAATTATAAAATAGGTAATGAGAAATAAAAAGTGCTACTACTGTTGAAAAATTATGTGCTTGAAAATTTATATTAAGAAAATAAATATTTATTATTCCAGCATTATAAAAAATTTGCACTTATTACAAAATAGAAGAGCTTTATAGTGCTAATTAGTTCACCCGAAATAAATCATTATATACATTAATCATACAAAAAAATCATCACTCTCTAACCGGGGAAGGCTAGAGAGTAATCATTTTATGTGTTGACAATTAGCGAGTACATTTAAATGATGATGGTCATTAATATTGATTGGCATCAAGTGGAGAGTTGAGGAGATGATCGTTAAATCGGGACAGACAATTTTGTTAGAATATGATAGTTGGACAATGATGGATAATGGCGTCACTTGATAAAAGATAATGATGACTAAAAGATATGAATTAGTTAACAATGGCTTAACGACAACAGTCGTGTGATAGTATTGATTTCTCGCAATTATCATTGGCATCAATTGCGCGGTAGATCTCTTTAGTTCTCCAAATATGCGTGTCTTGCTAACTTCAAGCCTCATATATGAGTACAATTAATTAATGGGGGTTTAATTTATAAATTTTTTGGAGTGTTATTTTAGTTATATTTATCAAAATAAAAAAGCAACTATGTGAAAGATCCTTGCTAACTCCATGGGATCACCTAATTTATTTAGTCATCTTAATATTATATTGATATCATATCGAAATTAAAAGATCATGTGGGCGTTTATTCACCCAATAATGCTCAAAATTGGAGAAATATATATGTTGTTTTTTTCTTAGGGAATTATGCTTAGAAGTTTACTTAGACTTTAAAACTCCCATTTTTGACTAGAAAAGAGTTGTTTGAGTAAGTTTTAATCAATTTGGATTCAAAATATAGTCGAACCAAGTTCCATAAGATAGGAGTTATATTCTAGCAAAAATTAGAAACATGAAAACCTTGTTCAAATCTTATGCAACCCCTCATTCAAAAATATGTTTGATCAGGGTACAAAAACATTTGAACATGATTCAAAATGCTATTTTCAAAATTCAAATAAGCTTCAAACAAGGCCGTGTGGGGTTCAAATAACTTAGCTTGCAATCTTATTTGATTAACATTGATTTGATATGATAGTTGTAGTTACAATATTTAGTCGAATAATATTCATAAGACATCAAAATTGTAAGCTTTACTTTATCAAAATTTGAAGTAAATCAGTTTAAAAATGGTCTGAATAATGTGATCATTAGTCAATCATGAATCGAAGATGGTTTAAAGAAAGTTTGATCATGGTACATAAGAGCACTCAATCATGATTCAAAGATGATTGATTATTTTTATTGTGGTTATCAAATTATTTAGATTTATTTTGAAGATAGATTATGATTTGATCATAATTCATATAGTATTTGCTAATCATTTCAAGATTGTTTGATTATATTTTGATTATTAATTTTGCCCTAAGTTGATAATATTGAGTGCAATCATAATAGTTGTGACATAAGAAAGTGTAATATTTTTCTAAATAAATATGATAATCATAACATACAACATATTATAAGAAACAAAACAAAATAGTCGTCGTGTA